GAGCCATGGGCCGCTAGGGCCGAGCCGAGCCCCGCGATGCCGCCGCCGAGTGGCCCCAGCGTCCTCGCGCGGCTGCTGCCGCTGCTGGGGCTGCTGCTCGGCGGCGCCTCTCGGGCTCCGGGCAAGTCGCCGCCGGAGCCCCCCAGCCCGCAGGGTGAGTCCCAGTGGAGAGGGGCCGCGATCGCGGGCCTGCGCACCCCGATCCGGCCCCCGCCTGCCAGCCTGTTTTCGCGGCGCTCGTGAATTGGGGGGTTATTTTTTCCACGGAATTGGGTGGGGGAAGCTAGGCGACCTGGGGTGGGCGTTTATGGGGGAAGGTGGGCTGGGGGGCGGACCGCCAGGGATTGAGGTCTCGGGAAGACACAATGGGGAGGGCAGGGGTCCCCGGTCTCCGCGCTGTCGTCCCACCCCGCCTTGTTTTTCTCCCTTCTGGTCCTCGAGGCGCTGCTGCCTGATCCATTGTCTACCGAATACACCCGCCTAGAGGCGGGCTGGGGCGGGCGCCGGCACGGCAGCCCCCCGCGGGGTCCTCGCTCCCTACCAGAGCTGGGTGGGGGGCGCGGGCATCGGCTGCCACCCTGGGCCCCGACGGGGGCTGGGCGTCTAGAGGCAGGCTTGAAGGGGGGGAGGGGAGATGGGGGAGTGGGTGAGGCTGTGGGCGGGATTGACTGATGGAATGGGGTTTTTCCGACCTGAAGCCTGACAGCCCTCAGCGGCCCCCCAAGGTTGGGGTGCATCCAACAAACGCTGATCGGCCCATGATGGAGGGGGCGCTGTAGTTGGGGGGCTCTGGAAAAAGGGTTACATTGTGATTCCCAGCTCAAGGCGCATGGCAGGGTCGAGGAGCCATGCTGAGCTGGCTGGCTGGCTGTGGGAGGGCAGGTGCCTGGGTCCCCGGCCAGCAGGCCTCCAGTCACTCCCGTCCCAGCCAGCTCCCCCGCATCTCCCCTCCTCATGTCACCTCTCCTTCGCAGTGGAGACCTCCCAGCACCTCACTGGGCCCAGGTGGGTGTGTGAGGTGTGGGTGGGGCTCGCTCCTGCAATGGGCAGGATGGGAAGGCTAGACCACACTCCAAACCCGCTGCTTGGGCTCTCAGGGGCCTCTGCCCACCCCAGCCCTGTGCCCTCCTCCCAGCCTCCCCTCCCCCACTTCTGCACCCCTCATGCGTGAAACAGTGCTCTCCACCACCAGCCCCCCACCAAGGAGCTAGTAGGAAAAGCAGGGTGGGGGGCGGTCTGGATGAGGGAAGTGGGGTCCGGATGAAGGGAGGGGGGTGGATTTCCTCCTAGAATGAGCAAGGCTGAAGCTGGGAAAGGCGGATACTGTGTGGAATGTCATATTTTGAGGAATGAGAAAGGATCTCCCCTGGCCTCAGTCTCCCCTGTTCTGGGAGCAGAGGGAAGAGGCCTTGGTTTCTCAGGAAGCCCCTCCCTCAGGCCCTTGCACCCCAGGGGAGGGGGCTCAGGGGATTGGCTGGGATAGAGCCAGGATGGGGGGCTCTCCTAGGCTGCTGGCTGGGAGCCCAGGCTGAGGGGAAGGGGAAGGGAATCTTCTGGGCAAGTCCCACCCACTGCCCCAGCTCGCCTCTGATGCCTCCATCAGGCCTTACCTGCCCACCCCTGTTTTGTCCCCCAAGCCCTGTCTCCTCTGAGGCTGTGGCCCTGGAACCCAAGGCATTCCCTCAAATGACCATGTTCCCAACTCCTGAGTCCCCTCCTCCCAGCTGCTCAGTCCAGCTGCTCCGAGTGAGACAGGGGTAGCCCAGCCCCTCCAGCTTCTCAGAATTCCTGCTGGGTGGTGGTGGAGGAGGGGGGCTGCCAGCTCCTGGGAGAAGCAGAGTAGGAGAGGTCATGTGTGTGCACCCACTCTGCAAGCGAGCAGGAGCAGGGCTTAGGCAGACAGCTGGATGGGATGCCAGGGCCAGGCGTGGTGCTGGCCTGGGGTTGGAAGCCTGACATAAGATACCTGTTGTGTGGAGTGTCAACCCCAACTAGCCTTCTTAAAGTCCCCCTGGCCCTCTGACTTCCCCATGCCCTGCTGCTCTCAGCTCCAGATCTGTCCCTACCAGCCTACTCCCCACATGCCTTCTCTGGGACCCACACTGACGCCCCATACCTGTTGAGGAAGAACACCCACTCCATCAGCAACAAGGCAGGAGTGAGGCATGTTCTTGAAGGAGGGGCCCTGCTAATGGGAAGGGGTAGGAGTGCTACAGATCAGAGCGGTTGCCTGGGGAAACAACTCAAGACCTGGCTCACCCCATGTGGACTCAGAACACCTGCAGGCCCAGTCTGAAGGCAGAAGTGGCCTTGGAAGGCAGAAGATGGATGGGTTTCCCATCCCAGCCCCTCTGCACCAGCTTCCCTGGGCCTGGGTCAGCCCCCTCAGACCTCCTTCCCCTTGCCAGGGCCCCAGCTCTCTGCCCATCTCTAGGGAGGAATGAGGGCATTGCCATGGTGACCAACTAGCTGCCCAGCTAGGAGGGGGCTGGCTTACAAGTAAGGGGGAGGGGTCAGGAGGTACTTGTTTGGGCTTAAAGAGTTGGGACAAGTCCCCAAATCTGAAGGGAAATAGGCTTGTGCAAAGGATTCTGGGAAAATGATAAACAATTCCCTAATGTCCCCTTCTCAATTTTTTCTTGAGAACTTCAACTCTGATCCCGCCCTCCATCCTCTCTTCTGAAGAGCTGTCTTGACCTCTTTCCTCTCCACCTGCAGGCCCCTGGTTCTCTGCTTTTTCATCCTCTCTCAGCCCTCCCACCCTTGTCCTCTCCCCTGACACCCACCGTGTAGGGCCCAGCGGTCAAGAGTGTGGCTCTAGAAGCAGGTATGGGTCCTAGATTTGCCACTTAAATACTGGCCTGCAAGTATTTCGATTCTCGGAATTTCATTATCCTTACCTGTATGTTTTATCAATTCCAAGACACCATTGACTGACTGAAAGATGTACCATGTTTCATGTACCAGTAAGAAAGAAAAAAACTGCTGCTGATTATAATTATGATATCATTGATTACAGGTATCAACTAAATTCAGAAATGTGAAAAAGTGCATATGTTAGACTTGAGGAAATATGGTAACAGTACTGACCTCACAGACCAATGCTGTGGAAATAAGCACTCTATAAAAGCCAGCTTTTATTATAATACCTTCTTTAGCCTCAGCCCTAGCCCTCTTTCTTCCCCTCCTTCCTCTCACTCCCCTCACCCCATCTTGCCCACAGAGGTCCTGATCAAGGTGCAGGTGTATGTAAGCGGTGAGCTGGTTCCTCTGGCCCGGGCCTCCGTGGATGTGTTTGGGAACCGGACCCTACTGGCTGCTGGCACCACGGACTCGGAGGGCGTGGCCACACTGCCCTTCAGTTACCGCCTGGGCACCTGGGTGCTGGTCACTGCTGCCCGCCCTGGCTTCCTGACCAACTCAGTGCCCTGGCGTGTTGACAAGCTGCCTCGTAAGTGCAGGGGCAGGTGGAGGGAGTGGGCAGCAGCTGACCCTCCAACAGCCCCTTCCCAAAATAGTCCTGGGGTGGGGGTGGGGCAGTGGAAAGGGCAGGCCTTCCAGCAGCTGCTGCCTGGGCTTGGGTATGCAGAGGGGCTTTCGGAAGGATGAAACCACTGGGATTCAGAGGGCAGAAGCCCTGGGAGCCTGGCCTAGGGAGGGGATGGCTTCTCGAGCTAACAGGCCATCCCTCCTGCAGTATATGCGTCTGTCAGCCTCTACCTGCTCCCTGAAAGGCCAGCCACCCTCATCCTCTATGAGGACCTTGTGCACATCCTCTTGGGCTCTCCCGGTAAGACTTCCCTCTACCCTACCCACAACCCCTCTTCCTTTCCCCTGACTTACAGAACTCTGTTGTTCTACATATTAGCTGGGTGAGCTTGGCCAAGTCACTTAGCCACAGTCGGTTCAACTGTAAGATGTGGATAATGATGGTGCCTAGTCATCTAATTGTTGTAAGATTTACGTAGCAAAAAGCACATGAAGAACTTAGCACAGTGGGTGCTCAATAAACGTCTTATTGTTATTGAGGCTTCTCATGGTTTCTGTTCTCCCTTGACTCCTTCCTTTAGAAGCCCTCTCCCTGCCACCTTTATCTTCAGTTGCACACCTACTGGGTGCCTAGCAGTTAGAAGGCCATGAAAGGTCATTCCATAGGTACTTCACCTATAGCCACTGAACATCTACCAAGGGCAAGGCCAGGGGTAATTCTGCAGCAGTCCCTGTCCACCTCTGGGCTTTCAGTTTCACTCAACTAATTCTTCATTCAACACCTCCACTGGGCCAGGCATTGTGGGTGGTGCTAGGGAGCCGTGGGATGGGAGAGCAGACAAGCTTCCCACCTCGTGGAGTTCATGGCAAATAGGAAGGCAGATGCCTCATCACAAGCATGCACTCATTAGAGAGCAGGCAGGGTAGTGGCACAGAGGGCAGCTGCATTCAGTGACTGTGGTGGGCAGGAGAATTCGGAGGAGGGCACTGTGGACCTATTGGGGTCAGGGAGTTAAAGGAGGAGCGAAGACCTCTTTATTGGAGAGGAAGGCCTGGGGGAGTCATCAAGGTGCAGGGACAGAAGGTACAGGAAGGAGGACTGGGAGAAGTCGGGGTATGGGAACACTCTGGCCTGGCTATGCAGCTGAAATGCTTGCTGTAGACTGGATGAGGAGCCAGGCAGAGGGCAGACACCATCCACCAGTACTGGGGAGCCACAGTGGGCTTTTGAGTGGGAGGAAGTCTCCCAAATTTATATTCTTAGCTTGAGCTTTTGTCCCCAGATCTCGCATTTGCTCACCTTCATCTCTCCAATCTCGAACAGGAGAGGTTTCTAAAATGCTAAACTGATGATTTTCCTGCCCCCTAACTTAAGCCCTCTGTGGTTCCCCCACTTTCTGTATAGACACTAGCCTCCATCACAAAGCTGCCAGCGCCCTCTGGGACTCCACTGCCCAAAGCCTTCCATCCATTTGCTGCTTGCAGGTCCCTGAACACCTCACTGCCTCCTCATGCCTCTGGGCCTTTCTCAGGCCAGTCCTGCTGGAAGTCCTTCCACTTTCTTTTCCTTACGGCCTAAGTCTCATCCTTCAAGATTCCCCAGACCCTTCCCTGAGCTGGGTGGGCCATGCTCCCCTTGCACCCTGCATCCTCCATCTCAATAGTGAGACAGGATGGAATAGTGGTTGACAGCATGGGCTCTGGCGCCAGATTGCCTGGGCTTAATCTTGGCTCGATTTTGATCTTGACTTTGTAACCTTGTGCAGGTTAATCAACTTCTGCCTCAAATTCTGTCTGTAAAATGGGGTTAGTAATAAAGACACCTGCCTCAGAGGTTGCTGTGCTGATTAAAGCGTTTAACATAGGTAGTGTAACCTGCTTAGGACAGTGCCAAGCATATCTTAAGGCTTCATAAATGTTAGCTATTATTACCACATTGTTTTGGAATTCTGTTTATATGTCTGCCCCCGCTCCTGACACACTTGCATACACATATACACACACGCAATCTAGACCTAAGTTGTCTAATGTAGTAACCACTAGCCACATGTGGCTATTTAACTTTAAATCCTTTAAATTAAACCTTCAGTTAAAAATTCCGTAAGTAAAATTCAGTTCTTCAGTCATACTAGCCACATTCCGGCGCTTAACAGCCATCTGTGTCTAGTGGGCATCATAAAGAACAGCCAGATACAGAATGTTTCCGTCACAGCAAGATGTTCTAGGGAACATGCATGCAGTATGCAGCGCAGCACTAGACCGTGAACTTGAAGGCAGGGGATTGTGTACCGCCATCTTTGTACTGCCAACACCTGACAATGCCTGCCACGCAGTAGACAATAATATTTGAAGACCTAAACCTCACTGTTTTATAATAAAGGTTTATAAAGAACTCGTGTTTCAGAGGGAGCAAGTAACTTGCTCAGGGTCACGCAGCCAGGATGACATTTCTCATCCACGTCCCTTCCAGGTTAACATTCTATGACTGCCCAGTTCTCTCCAAGTTGCCTCCCTCCCTGGACTTCCCAAGTGTCCTGACCCAATGGTTCCCTTTCTCTCTAGATACTTGCTTCCTGCTCTGGTCCCTGGGGCACCTCGGCCCTGGCCAGGTCACTGCAGGCCCTCTCTCTGTGCAGGTGTGCGCTCCCAGCCTTGGGTGCAGTTCCACTGCAGAGGTGCCTGTCTGCCTACCTCCACCTACAGCCAGCTCTGGGCCTCCCTCACACCTGCCAGCACTCAGCAGGAAATGCGGGCCTTCCCTGCCTTCCTGGGCACTGAGGCCTCCAGCTCAGGTATGCTAGGTGCTGGGCAGGGAAGGGGTTGCCACCCCAAGAGTTAGCCCTCAGCCTTTGTGTCCTCTGCCCCCCAGGCAATGGATCCTGGCTGGAGCTGATGCCCTTGGCTGCAGTGAGTGTGCACCTGTTGACAGGCAATGGGACCGAGGTGCCACTCTCGGGCCCCATTCACCTGTCCCTGCCCGTGCCCTCAGAGCCTCGTGCCCTCGCTGTGGGCACCAGCATTCCAGCCTGGAGGTTCGACCTCAAAAGTGGTGAGTGCTTCAGGGCTTCCAGGTGCTGGAGTTTGAGAAAGGAAAGTGGGGCTCAGGTAGGGGGACACTGAGTTTGATGAAACCTCCATGTCTCCCAGGGCTATGGGTACGCAATGGCACTGGTGTGATCCAGAAGGAAGGCCGGCAGCTCTACTGGACCTTTGTCTCCTCCCAGCTGGGCTACTGGGCAGCTGCCATGGCCTCCCCCATGGCCGGTGAGACTGTGAGGCAGAGGGGAGTAGGGAGGTGTGGTAGTGGACAGGAGGCTGGAAGGGAAGGCTGGGAGAGTGGTAGACTCCTTGTGAAAGGCAGAAGGGTATCCACCCCCAAATGCTAAGCCATTGCCTGGCATAGGGCTGGTCACCATCACGTCGGGCATCCAAGACATTGGTACCTACCACACCATCTTCCTGCTCACCATTCTGGCTGCCCTGGCCTTGCTGGTGCTTACCCTGCTGTGTCTGCTCATCTACTACTGCCGGTGAGTGCACGGCCTCCCCATGCCCCAGCTTCCCTGGGGCCCTCCTTTCATCCCATGCACTGCTGACCCCTGTCTCCAGCCAACTGGAGCCTCAAACAAGTATAGTCAGAGCCTCAAGGCGCTGACAGGAAATGCATGTGCAAAGACCTGAGCATTCTGGTGGCTTAAGTGAGAGCAGGGAGAAGGAGGCAGGGCCCCCATGAGACAATCTGCTGCTGCTCCTACCAGCCCAGCTCTTGCTCCCAGGAGACCCTGGGCCAGACAGACCCCCTGCTTGCCTTACATGTCTTTCTAGGTTTTCACTGAACCTCCTATAAGCAAAAGAGCGGTGTGCCATTGAGTTAGTCCAACTCATGGTGACCCTATAGGACAGACAGACAACTGTCTCTTAGAGTTTCCTACACCGTAATCTTTACCAGAGCAGATCACTAGGTCTTTTCTCCCACGGAGGGGCTGGTGGGTTGGCACCACCAATTGGGGGGGGAATAGAGCACTTAATCATTGAGCCACCAGGGCTCCTATGGGGACCCAAATGAGCAAAGCCACGGACAGAGGCCTCCCACAGACAAGTCAAGCCCTTCTGGCAAATCTTTTCCAAGCCCCATCTGAGCACCCCACATCTCCCAGCGCATTCTCCCCAAACCACCGTATTCATTCCTTACCTTGTGATCTCGGGAGCAGCTCCCGCCGCACGCTTTCCTGAGGATCCCTGTCTGCTCCCTCCTCTCTAGAAGGCGCTGCTTGAAGCCAAGGCAACAGCACCGCAAGCTGCAGTTCACCGGACCATCTGACGGAAACAAACGAGACCAGGCCACCTCGATGTCCCAGCTCCACCTCATCTGTGGGGGGCCTCTGGAGCCTGCCTCGTCGGGGGATCCTGAGGCTCCGCCGCCAGGCCCACTCCACTCAGCCTTCTCCAGCTCCCGGGACTTGGCCGCCTCCCGGGACGACTTCTTTCGCGCCAAATCGCGCCCTGCCAGCCGCCCGGCCGCCGAGCCTTCGGGTGCTCGCGGGGGCGATGGCGCCGGGCTCAAGGGCACCCGCTCCCTGGAGGGCCCTGGCGGGCTGGAGCCGGGGCTCGAGGAGTACCGGCGGGGGCCCCCGGGGGCCGCCGCCTTCCTGCACGAACCGCCCTCGCCGCCGCCGCCCTTCGACCACTACCTGGGCCACAAGGGGGCGACCGAGAGCAAGACCCCCGACTTCCTGCTGTCGCAGTCGGTGGACCAGCTGGCGCGGCCGCCGTCGCTCGGACAGGCTGGGCAGCTCATCTTCTGTGGTTCCATCGACCACCTCAAGGACAGTGTGTACCGCAATGTCATGCCCACCCTAGTGATCCCGGCGCACTATGTGCGCCTTGGAGGCGAGGCGGGCACCGCGGGAGCGGGCGACGAGCCAACCACGCTCGAAGGCCCGACCCCAGGCCCCGTACGCTCTTTTCCCCAGCCCGACTCCCAGCGCCCACTGATGCAGGGCCACTCGGGCACGGGGAGTGAGGGCGGTGGGGGTGGCGGCGGCGAGGGCTGGGGGGGCGGGCGCTCGGCGCCTGTCAGCGGCTCTGTCACAATCCCCGTGCTGTTCAACGAGTCCACCATGGCGCAGCTCAACGGGGAGCTGCAGGCACTGACCGAGAAGAAGCTGCTCGAACTGGGCGTGAAGCCTCACCCGCGCGCCTGGTTTGTATCTCTCGACGGGCGCTCCAACTCGCAGGTGCGCCACTCCTACATCGACCTGCAGGCAGGCGGCGGGGGCCGCAGCACAGACGCCAGCCTGGACTCAGGCGTCGACG